CCCCAATTTCCAGGCGATATGAATGCCATGGGGATGAGACCTCACGGTCTTAGGTAAGATCTTTGATCTCTTAAAATTTGCAGGACATTACAGGGGTAGTTCTGTATTTACAGAAGTTGTTAGACAAAGGTTGGGGGTTTTTTGGATGAAAAATATCTGTGTTGCCTACAGTAGCTGGTAATCTTCCTGAAGTCAGTATGTACAGTGAGTTTTCCTGTAAGCGTCTGTAACATTATAATGTGGTTTACATTAACGCTGTTTTACACGGTCTTTTATTGGGAATTAACCAGAAATAAAAATGGAGAAGCTGCAATACTGGTGAAAGTTATGTAGCTGAAAGATCTCATCACCCATGGGTTTGGGGCATTTTTTATTTTTTGAAAGTGAAAGGTCTGACTTTCGCTTTGATGTCTTAATAATGAATAAATGTAATATTCTTGTTTTCGTTTATAATGAATGTTATAAACATCAACTTCTGTCTGTGCCATTTTTACAGTGAATGCTATGATGTAAAATGAATACCAGTATTGACATACATTGTAATCTCAGCAAGAATTATTGTCAATATTTTGGATTTATTTCAGTAATTTCTACATCCACACAATATTGTTTTTTACGCTGAGTTTCACTAACATGTAGCTTATTTACTAAGATAGTTCTTACTGTCAGAGTTTTCTATCCATTATTATTATTATTGGAATTGAAAACAGGTTGTTTATTAAACATAATTAAAGCAATTATTTTATTGTAGTCATAAAGCTCATTTAAATGTAAGCATAATTAGTCAAAATATTTATTTAAATGTCTTAATGAATGCATCATGTAAAGCATTTTGGTGAATAATTATTTAGTCAAATATGCCAGACTAGGCAGTCCTGAGAAACAGGGTTATTTAGTCTTTCATACTTTATTGTAGATACGGGTTCCCAGGAGGTGGCCATGGTCCACCGTCAGGTCAAGAACGTTTCCTCGGTCCTCCGCAGCCAATGCAACGCCCTGGAGTTCCACCACAGCTGAGAAGATCTCTGTCTATTGATATGCCTCGGCCAGTGAACAATCCACAAATAAATAATACATCAGGGATCTCTCAACATTTTCCTCCACAGGGAATTCCAGTTCAGCAGCACAACATATTGGGTCAGGCGTTTATCGAGTTACGTCACAGAGCTCCTGATGGGAGGCCAAGGCTGCCTTTTAATCCTTCGGCTGCAAATGTTATGGATGCAGCAGCACAACATCAACGACACGCAGGGTTTATACCCAGGCAGGAGTTTCCGGGCCCAAGGCAGGCAGAACCACTGAGACATAATTCTCAAGGTATACCTAACCAGTTGCAGATGTCTACAAGTTTGGAGCACATGTCGCAATCCCAGCAGGATCAAATCAATCCTGACAACCCACCTGCACTTGTAATACGTTCTCTAAGTCATCCACCAGTTGCTGATGCATTCCCAGGACCATCTTTGTCTACATCTGCACCAAGCGATGAATCTGCAAATTTACAGATTTCCAACCAGCCAAGTGATGGTCTGGAAGAAAAGCTTGATCCTGATGATCCTGCTGTAAAAGATTTGGATGTGAAAGACCTTGACGGGGTTGAAGTCAAGGATTTAGATGATGAGGATTTGGAAAATTTGAATCTAGACACAGAGGATGGGAAAGGAGATGAACTGGACACTTTAGATAATTTGGAAACCAATGATCCTCACCTTGATGATCTTCTAAGATCTGGGGAATTTGATATAATTGCATATACAGACCCAGAACTTGATGTGGGGGATAAGAAAGGAATGTTTAATGAAGAACTAGATCTTAGTGTCCCCATTGATGACAAACTAGATATCCAGGGCAAGACAGAAGAACCAAAACCAAAAGAACAAGGTGATAAAACTGTTTCTCCTCCTCAGACTCAATCTCCACAGAAGAAATCTGCTACAGAAAATGAAATTAAAACAGAAGTACTTTCCCCAAACACTCAGGAGGAAAAGAAGAATGAAAATGAAAAAAGTGGTGGAAATGCTGAATCCACAAGTACTCAACAGGTTGCTGAAGTGGAGTTAAAGGATGGAGAAAAGGCTCCTGTGCAGCCTGCTAACCCAGAATTCGCTGACAAAACTACTGCTGTTCCTAGTCAAGAAACAACTGTGCCTAGTCCAGATGCTCAGGGATCTGCTCCACTGCCTGTTCAAGCAGCAGTAAGTTCCTGCAGTATTTCTGGGTCCACACCAGTCCTTTCAAGTTTGCTAGCTAATGAAAGCTCAGATAATGCTGAAGCAAGGACTCTAGGATCTCCATCTCAGTCTTTGCCAACAGCACAAATGAACCATGCATCAGGTATTCCACAAACACTAATGACACCTGGTGGACAGATCTTGGAAAACACTTTAAATTCAAATTTGTCCATGGTTCCACGAATGAACCATAATTTTTCTCAAGGGTCACCAAATCCAGGATTTATTCAGGGTCAATCATCTAATCATAACTTTGGGACGGGACAGACATCTAATCAAACTGTGGCTGTAACAAACCGTCCTGGTCCTAGTGGCATATCTGGTCCCCAGCAGATGATGCTCCCTCAGCCATTAGCTCAACAACAAAATCGAGAAAGACCACTTCTGCTAGAGGAACAGCCACTTCTTCTGCAGGACCTTTTGGATCAGGAAAGACAGGAGCAGCAGCAGCAGCGACAGATGCAAGCCATGATTCGCCAACGTTCAGAGCCATTTTTCCCCAATATCGGTATGTGGGTGATCTATTTGTCTCTGTTCTGGTTATTTTTTTTTTTTTAATACAACAATAAATAGTTAAATAATTCGTAGCACTGAAAGAAGCGGGTAGATATGTAGAGTTTGAAGGTGGCATGACAAAAAAGCAGCTTGCCTAGTAGGTACAATGAGGGTATGGAAATGGAACGTGTAGATGGAATTCTGATCTCTGTGCAAGGCTCCTGTTGACATTACCAGGATCAGTGTAATGCTGCATTACTGCTAATTTTTCTGACAGCAGCTCTGTCGCATATTCTCTTTATCGTTTAGGTTCTCATAACGTGGTATGGAGTAAATGTATCCTTTGTTAAACAAAATAAAATTATCAAGTGCAACAGTTGACCTTTTGATATTTGATCTATCAGTTTTCACTTTATGGTTGTTTTATCACATTTTTTTTGCAGTGTTTAGTGTGTCTCAAGGAAAGTGTTCATCGAAAGCTGTATTACTAACTCACATTCCAGGCAAGGCACAGAAACATCACAAATAATTCTGCACAGACTAAAAGCGTTTAAGATAGACCGTAATTTCCTGTTAATATATAACATAGCAGTTTAAGAATTCAAATCAAGACATCACTATCATTTAATTGTTACTAACGAAACATGAAATTTTGAGAAATGTGTTAGTTGTAACTACACTGGCCATCAAGGCTGTTTGTTCAAAAGACAAATCCAACCTACCCCGATGTCACAGTTCCATATTTGTAGTGTGGCTAGAACATGCCGTAGCTACGGTGGCCAAGATGACCTCCAGAGGTCTCTTTCAACCGCAGCCGTTCTGTACTGCCGTTCATCCTGCTCTGTGTGAGGCATCTAATGGGAGAGACAGCAAAAAGGCAGAGTTCACAGTGCTGATGGTCTTTTCAGATGCTGTATGGGGCGTGTGCCTTTCTGCCCGTAGTGCTACTGGTAATTACAGAGTGACTAAACCATTTTCTTAGTACATTAGTGGTGATGTGTCAGTTTTGCCAACTGAACTCACAGAAGCAACTCTTCTTCCTGATTCTTAAACCTAGAAATAGAATTTATTAACGATATTATTGGTGTCATAGGGCAAATTTAGTCTAGAGCCCTTCTCAGACTGACCTGCTTTTCTTTGTATGTTGTGGCTGAAAAAAAGGACAGTAACTGCTGCTGGAGTAACTGTCCTTAGAGAGGATATATGAAACTACATATTAACCATGAATTTCAAAGTGGAGAGGACAAGTAATGTGAAATAGTAATGCAATTATGTTGTTTTACTGATGATTTATGCATGAACTAGATCTAAACAAGTCAGTTCCAGTTAGTAACTTGTAATGTTCAGCCATTTAATTCACTTTTACTGTTTTTCTTTTATAGACTTCGATGCAATTACTGATCCCATAATGAAAGCAAAAATGGTAGCTCTTAAGGGGATCAATAAAGTCATGGCACAGAGTAACATGGGGATGCCACCAATGGTTATGAACAGGTAGGCAACACTTGATACCATTCTTTAGGGCTACAAAATGTAAAAGAAACTGACAGAGCTAGGGGAAACTGCATAGGAAATGAAAAAATTTAAAAGTGGAAACAGATGTTTTTGTCATGTAGTTCATTGTCCACACTAATACAAGAGTATCTCCCAAGAATAAAACCAGTGTGGCTGTAGAAACTATAAAAAGTAATAAAACTCATCAAAGTTGTGTTCCAGTTGTAATGTCATTGGTCTACATGGTCAATGTGGCTTCACTGTTGTTGCTTTTCTTGTTTCCCCGCTTACTAATTATGTAATGACACAGCTCCCTTGCATTGTGTTTGAAAACTGTTGATGGCCGTGTAACGGTTAAACTTCATGTTGTAGCATAGCATTTAATGCTAAATATAATTAAGATTTAGCCCAAGTAATGAAAGTTTCATCCTTTCTTTAAATCTGTTCTGAGGACAAAGGTAGCTGTGAACTGTGCAGACTTCACCATGACTGCCTTTACCATAGGTGGGGCGTCTGTGAGGCAGAAACGATCTTCACCTTTTCTTTTTATGTGGCCCTTAAAAAGAGTGTGTTTTCTCCTTCCTAGCACATGCTTCAGTGTTATCTGATAATACATGGCTTACCAGAGGTGTACATTTATCCAACTGTAGTTGACTGTGCAGGTGACCGTGATATCTAAATCCATTAAATCTTTTTTTAGTATCATAATATATTAAAATACAAATGCAGATATTTTTTGTGTGTGTGTTTTCAGTGTTTTAGCACAGTACATCATGTTTACTTCATCTGTCTGAGAAGTATAAAATGCAGTAGTTTCAACAAAGGGCAAAGTGTTGTAGCATCAAATGAGAATTAATATTCTCCAGATGTTGAAAAAGTTTGGTACAGAAGTTCAGTCTATATATATTGGATGCTGTTGTGTAATACAAAAGGTTGTCTTTCCCCTAAAATACCAACCAGTTCTAAAAGTTATGATTTCACTTTCTGTTTATATATAATAGGTTTCCCTTTATGGGTCAGCCAGTGCCAGGGGCTCAGACCAGTGAAGGCCAAAATCATATGCAGCAGGCAATTACACAGGTAATACAACTTGATATGGGGTTTAAACAAAAGCATTTAACAATGATAACTAGTTTGGGGGTTTTTAATTGAATCATGATTTAACATCCTTGTCTGTATGTTTTACTGCAATTTCTAGGACGGAAGTTTGACACCTCAGATTTCTAGACCTAATCCTCCCAATTTTGGTCCTGGTTTTGTCAGTAAGTACAGATTTAATAATGTATTTTAGGTTGATGTTTCATTCTGTAGTTCTGTTTTCTTGAAAATAAAATATCCATAAATGGATCCTGTCTCTCAAAAATTCATCCTTTTAAAAGTGAGTCTTTTCATCATTACCATACCAACTAATGAAGGAGTGCATAGTAAAAGCTATGAACATATTTTGTAGAAGCTCTCCTCAAAGAAACACCATAAGGAAAGAGGGAAACAGAACAAAGAGAAAATCAGCATGATTTGGGTTTCTGTGAGAATAGTAATCTACTAACTGTGACAGACTGTTGTGTCAAAAACCTGGTCTTTGGTTGTGTTGTAATATTCTGAGCTCACTGAGAACAACAGTCTATATTGATGTTTTTTGATTGTTGTTTCTTTTAATTTTATTTCAGAAGCAAAAAGTTTTGTGCAGCATCATTGTCATTTTAACAAATACCAATAAAAGCTTTCTGGGCATTAGTTAGTCAAGACTGTTTGGAATCCATGGTTGTTGAAAGTAGAAATATTTAGCACTACTGTTTTGCGTTCCTTGTTTCTGGTTGCCTTAGATCAATTCTAAATCCTAGTGTCTATGATGAGAAAGATTTATGAGCAGAAATTAAAACCGAGCATATGTTGGAGAGGAAGACCACATGTAAAAAAGTTTTTCTATCACTACAAAAATTTGACTTGATATTTATGAGTAAGAAACAGAAGTAAACACCTTCACCTTTTCCAGAAACTGGAATAGCAGCACTGAGTATGCCATAAGGAGCTTTTGCAATATTATCTGTATTAATTTCTGGTGAGATTTGACATGGCACTCAGCGGTGGCCTCACTCCGGTTGAGGGGGGTGGTGGTGGTTCTGAGCACTTGAGAAAAATCTGTTTCTCATTTCAGTAGTAATGTTTACCTGGAACTTGTTAATATTTCAGTGCTTTCATTTGCACTTTCACATCGCTCCCATCTGCAGTTACTCTCCATCGTTTCCACTCAATTGTCCCTTCAGGTTATGTGATTAGTTTTGCAGAATTTATCATTGAGAGAATAGGCACCCCTTGCAACTGTAGGTAGGTCTGTGAGCTGATTTAGTTGAGCCATTAGTCAATGGCTGTCGCTACTACTGTGACTGTTAAAGTAGAAGGTGGTGGGGACTGGAGCACGAGGAGGACATGGTTATATTGAAATCATAATGACGTGTAGGAGTATTTATTAAACAAACTTTCTTTACAAGAAAGATCCATGCTGTATCCTGGTTACCCAGCTCTTTGCCACAATGCAGTCAGGAGACAAATGATACCATCACCAAACCTTCTCTTTTGCCTTCTGGGCTTAGTGCAGGTCAAGTGTTATCAGACATGATTGTTTTGCCTCGAGAAAAACATCTGAGAGCAGTGGACTGCTCATAGCAGTTGAGCATTTCTCATTTGTAAAACAAGTATTGTCTCAGTTACAGTCTAAATGAGAGTGCGTTTGTTCGTGGGGAGCAAAGGCACCGGTGCTGTAGATCCTGTGCGGAGGACTGACAGAAAGTTATTTGTACAAAGATAATACATTTCTTTCATTTCATGAATATTTGATGGATGTTTAGAATTTTAGTGTTTTTCTTAGAAGTAGTAATAAAAATAGATTTTTCATGTACAAAAACTCTTCTGCAAACACCAGAATTGGTAAGGCCATGTTTCCTGTAAATTTGTGTCCTTCCTCCCTAATCTCTTTCCCGCCACCTGAGTACTTCCAGAGGTATTCCATGTCCCCTCTTCTGTAGCTGCTTTCAAAGTTAGGTTTGCTCACTGGCTAGCAAGTGAGCATTTACTGGCTAGATAGCAGACTGGTGTCCCTTGAAATTAAGGGACTATGTTAAAACTGCATTCTCTCAGTAAATGCAGTAATTTGGATCTTTGTCTGTTCTACTGAAATCACTCCCAAGAGCTTAATACCTTTTGAGAGAATCAAATCCTCTGTCAGATTTGGCTGAACTTGACCAATGGTTTCTTGAAATTGGGGGGAACCTGATTGTTAAACTTCATCTCTAAAAAGTAGGATGAGAGCTCACCCCAGGATGAGGTCATATCATACGTAATCTCCCTTTTCTCTAGATGATTCACAAAGAAAGCAATATGAGGAATGGCTGCAAGAAACACAACAGCTTCTTCAAATGCAGCAGAAGTACCTTGAGGAGCAAATTGGAGCACACAGAAAATCAAAAAAGGCACTCTCAGCAAAACAGCGTACGGCCAAGAAAGCTGGCCGTGAGTTCCCAGAAGAAGATGCAGAACAGCTTAAACACGTTACTGAGCAGCAAAGTATGGTCCAAAAACAGCTAGAACAGGTAATCTTCCTGAATCCAAACTTGATCACCTTAATGCTAAGCTGTCATATCGGTATGACTCTTTAGTTTAAATCTTGAAAAGTGCGAGTTGAAATGCTTAAATACAGTGGAGCGTATTTAAAGGGAGCCACTCCCTATCGTATTTTATGTGTGTAATAGCATCACTCTGGATTGCTGGTGACACTTGGAGTTGTAGGAGAATATGCTACGTCAAACATTATGACAAAAAGCTGGTTTAGTACTTTGGGAAGAGGGGAAATTGCTTGGCAAAATGACTTGCAACAGAGTTCCTGGCACCATGAAAAGCATAAATGAAAGGTTCAGAGGAAAGCCTTAGCACGCAGGGCTTTGTTTCAGGCCTGAATGCAAATCATAGCTCAGTCTTTTTCAGGTGTTGTGTAATCACAACATCTTGGTTATATGCCAGTTAAATGTTACTGTTTGAAAATCTCTTTTCATTGTATCTTTAGTATTAGTCTATTTTTATCATCTGTCTGGTTCCTAGATGCTGATCATCAGTGTGTATTCTCTGTTATTGCATCATGGAATAATATAGTTAAAAGGGGTATCTGGAGATCATCTAGTCTACTGATGAAAGCAGAACTAGCTTTGCAGTTAAATGAGGTTGCTCAGCACCTTGTCAGTCAAGTTTTGTAAGTCTCCAAGGGTAGAGATTTCCCAGCCTCTCTAGTTCCAGTGTGTACTACTTTCACTGGGTTTTGGGTTTTGTTCTTCATATTCAGTTGGAATTTCACTTGCTACATCTTGTAACTGTGATTATAGTAAGTGAGATTAAAGTTAAACCTGTGGTAGCTTGGATAAGTCTATGCTTTGGCTAGCAGTACTGAATGCTGTGTTCCTGAAGACATTGTTTATAAGTTAT